AATGACTTCACACTATCTCGCATGATGTCATATCCTGTCTGAAGAGAACCAAAATACTCTAAAGCTGTAAATCGCATTAATTTTAACAACTGCTAATAGCTTTTCAATGAAGGGAAAAAGCTGTCTTTTAAAACACGCTACAGGAGAAAGGCATTTTGCAATTTAAAATAATAGAAAATAAAACACAAAACGGGCTTAGTTCCCTAAACTAGGGATAATCGATAATAGATGACGGAAAAGCAAATCTTAAGTCAAGACATTGAAATTGGACAGAAAATTACAGTGGGGGTTATGGTCTGGATTAATACTTAGGGTAAGTTCCGTTTAGGTAAATTATGGCTATGTACTAAATAGATTTTTTTTTTTCTAATTCTTGATAACTTTATATAGTGACTTTATATCACAGCGCCCATTGCTGGTATGAATTGGTATGACTATAAGGAAGTGTGTAATCGCTGCCTTAGCCGCACCTCCTGTGGGGGCCGGACTGTGGGTGTTCAAGAACCGTTATTTGATGTTTAACATCTTGAAAATGGTTTAACAATAAATGGAGGGAAAGTGTTGGGGGGATTTATCAATGATTGGTGTAACTTCTAAACATTTATACATAAACCTGTATTTTAAAAATATGATATGGCTATATTTAAATTGTAACAGTAATGGCTATAAAATGTAGCATGTCTTCAAAATAAACTAGAAAAAATATGCTTGATTAAAATGTGAGAATTTTGCCAGTAGTTTAAAATATAGCTTAATTATCATTGTATATAATATATATTTATAATTCTTAACAACATCTCATAATTAATAATTAGGACTTATTTATAATCTATCAGTAACAGAGCATATTTATTCCTTACATTTTCAAGCTAAAACTATATTTACTATTCATATCCAATTATAAACCTGCATGCCGAGTAAGTGACGTAATGAGCCTTTTTTTCATTACCCACTAAGTAAATATCTGTTTGACGGTTTTTTCAGCATTCCAAAAATACCTAGTGTGTGTGTAAAATAATCTTAAACTTCCTTAGAAAAGCCTTTTCAAATTGTATTCATCTTGACTTAATCCACAATCTACTGAGTGAATTAAGGCTCTATTTGTTTTTTGGAAACCCATTTTGTAAGGGTCCAAGGGTCTGTGTTTTTTTAAGGAAAAAAAACGCCTTTAGTCTTGCAGTCAAGGATGCTGGGGAGCCGGGTCATCCAGAAGGGGCTCAAATGAGTCTTCTGTGTCCCTAGGTGCTCAGCTCCACTGACTAACAAAATGTAAATAAACACAGCTGAGTTGAGGAAGACATTGCAAGGTTTTCTCATTAGAGAAATAAAATAAACAGATGTTCCTAAGCACTTTGGCCTATGTTTGTCAAAGGAATTGAAAGACTTAGATGTTTGAACAACAGAGGTGATATAGGGCTGCATGGTAAGTACTCAGGAGGAAAAATATATAAAAGAAACACACAGTGCTTCGATTTGACAAATGACCCTACGGGAGACATCTTTTGATTTGAAGACTCATGGCTTCTGACCATAGATTTTAACTGACAAGCAATAAAGCAGAAGTTTATGCCCAGGCAGTAATGTAATAAAATGCAAACTAAAAATGTAGTGTTTTTTTTTTTTTACTAGTAGAAGATTTATAGTGCCATAATTAAAAACATTTGGAATAATTTGCATGGCTGATTTAGAGTAATACTCTAATACTGTGCACCGCTATAGGCACACAGGGGTGCCGCGGAATGTTTCCCCAGTGCTATGATTTTATACTGCTGGACAGTGGCCGGTCGGGTGCCGCGGTCCTTTAAGATCGTGACCGGGCCCCTGTAATGTCGGCCGGCTGGGAGGATGTGACAGCCTGTCACTTCCTCCCAGCGTCATGCAGCGCCAGAGAGACAGCGTGGGAGGGAGAGGAGGCAGCCGCAGCATGAGGGGAGAGGAGCAGTCCAGAGCTGCTGCAGATCCCTCACAAACAGCACCCTCCTGGACATACAAGGTAAAGTAACAGGAGGGTGGCTGGAGATAGAAAAAAAAATATCACTTGTGTGAGTGTGTACATTTTGTATGAGTGTGTGTATATGAGTGTGTGTATCTGTGTGTGTGTATGTGTGTATATGAGTGTGTGTGTGTGTGTGTATGAGTGTGTGTGTGTGTGTGTGTGTATGAGTGTATATATATGTCAGTGTGCTTCTGTCAGTGTGTGTGTGTGTGTGTGTGTCAGGGTGTGTGCATGTATCAATGTTTGTGTGTGTCAGGGTGAGTGTGTGTATGTGTGTATGTCGGTGTATGCATGTGTAAAGGGGTGTGTATGTGTCAGTGTGTTTCTGTGTGTGTGTGTATGTATCAGTGTGTATCTATGTATCTGCGTGTTAATGTGCATGTATATCTATGTAAGTATGTATGTGGTTGTGTGTGTGCATACATCCAAGCAGTCAAACACCAGCACAACATACAAACACACTCCTGCAATCTAACACAAATATTACATACAAACACATCCCTATATTCAAACTCCAAAAAAAATATACAAACACACCCCTTCACTCAAACACAAATACTTCACACAAATGTACATCCGCATTAAAAAGTGAACATTACATTCAGACATACCCATGCAATCAAACTCAAACATTACATACAAGCACACCCCTGTATTAAAACATAGACTATATACAAGCACCCCTTCAAACACCAACACTGTACATTACACTATTGGGCCAGTAAATGCCACAGCGCTGTACAGTTATACAACCTAGAAATGTTATGACTTGGGGTGCCTTGAAAAAATATTGAAATATTAAGGGCACCTTGAACCTAAAAGGTTTGTGAAACACTGCTTTATATAATACAGCACAGGGCAGATCCTAGGGTTATAGACACCTGGGTACAAAATTATTTTTTTGGTGCCAAGGTGGACGTAGTCATCTTACTAGCGCCTCCCCTTTACAAATATTTAGTCCAGACATGCATGTTTCTATGGCAACGACTACACCTCTCCATTAGAGGTTATATTGGGGGGGTGGTGCTGAAGTAGGGGAATGGGGCTGTAATGGAAGATAGGAACTTAAGTGGGGGATAGGGGCTATAGTGGGGTATAAGGGCAGTAGTGTGGGATAAAAGGTGTAGTGGGGTGTTAGGAGATGAAGTGGTGGGTTAGAAGATGTAGTGTGGGTTAGTAGTAGTGGGGGTATAAAGGCAATTGTGGGGAGTTAAAGGTTGTAGTGGTGTTGTAGGAGTTGAAGTGGAGTTAGAAGATGTAGTGGGGGGGATAAGTGCAGTAGTGGGGGGCACAGGAGCAGTAGTGGGTGCATAGGGGATGTAGTGGAGATTATGGGTGTAGTGTGGTGCTAGAGGCAGTATTGGAGAGTTATGGGTGTAGTGTGGGGTAAGGGGCCGTAATTGGGGGTTAGGTGGTCTAGTGGGGTAGATAAGAGGCTTTATTAATACAATCAGCTCACTGATACACACAGATAGGCTTACTGACACACAATCTCACTGATACACACAGATACGCTTACTGGTACACATACACAAACGTAATACAGACAAGTTCTCTGACATACACACATGCTCACTACAGACAAGCTCAGCTCATTGACACACACATGCTCACTACAGACAAGCTCACTGACACAAACACATGCTCACTACAGACATGCTCACTGAAACACACAAGCTCACTAAATACAAGCTCACTGACACACAGAAGTTTACTACAGACAAGCTCATTGACACACACATGCTCACTACAGACAAGCCCACTGACACATGGGTGCTCACTACAGACAAGCTCAGTGACACACACAGGCTCACTACAGACATGTTCACTGGCACAAACACATGTTCACTACAGACATGCTCACTGACACACACATGCTCACTACAGACAAGCTCATTGACACACACACAAGCTAGCTATAGACAAGCTCACTGACACAAACACACATGCTCACTAAAGAGAAGCCCACTGACACACAAGTTCACTATAGACAAGCTCACTGACAAACACACATGCTCACTACAGACAAGCTCATGCACACAAGATCACTATCAGTCATGAGCTGCTGAGTATTTGAAGTACAGTACAAGATGCAGTCCTTACAGGCAAACTGTAAGATATTGTGAGCATCGACTCTCTATGCAGTAGCTGCATAGTAATGCTGTCCTCACACTCAAGGCTCGGTCATTCCATCCAGCTTCCTAAATATATACTTAGTATACTCATTACCCTTTGTGTTTCATAGCTGCCTTACGTCACTGACGCCCTGGCCAAGTCTTTCACAATCTTTCTTCTTTACTTTATGCTTGCTGAGCCTTTTTCCGACTGACCCTGATGTCTGTCCCTATTCCCTTCCAACTTTCTGATGACCCGAGACCTTTGGTCGACCCCTTGGGGTGAGGACAGCTGCGAATGACTGGCATCAGGGTAAAGAATTGGATTGATGTGTTTCTGGCATCCCGCTGCCTTTCAGAGGTGAAAGCACATCAAGGGTTGCTTTTAAGGAGTTTTATTTTTGGATATGCCAGGTGGATTATGTTCGTTCACTGATGTCCAACTGGCAGCCTTAGAGTTGAATGTGACCCTCAAAAGGTTTATGTAGAGTCCTCCACAAGCCAGCAAAATCCATTAATTCCATTAGATTACATCACCAAATATGACCAGGTTTCCAAGATTATGAATCTGAAGAAATACTGTGGTAGTTATTAAAAGACTGGACAGCACCGTGTTAGGGTTTAATTTTCCAAAAGTGTATGAAATATATTCCGTAAACGGGCCAATCACCTCCAGCACCTCTAATTTTCCATGTTTTCTGTTTTTAACACCAAATTAATGGCACTACATGACTTAAAGGACAAATGTCATCATATTTTCATTCTTTGTTTTTTCAATATATTTAATAAAAGGTACTGATTTTAAAAAAAATAAATAATTCTTTTTTTTTTTTTTTTTTAATATCACTTTTTTATCCGGCTTGGCAGCCATCTTGGGTCAGACTCAGCTGTTATCTGACCAACTGCTGCTCAACCTAACTTGTCTGCTGCTGTGATTGCTCAGTGTGTTCTATGTGAAACTGCTGCACCAGGCAAGTTAGGTTGAGCAGCAGTTGGTCAGCTTTCAGTGGGTCAAAACTCATTTACGACCATCACCTACTGGAGACTCTTGTCTCTTTCGCCATCAACTGCTCGAGGGACGCTAGCACTTTACTATATCTAGTGAACAACCAAACTGCGCATGTCAATCCTTTAACTGCATTTTACGGGGGCAACTAAGAAAAACGAAAAATATTACCCATGTGACATTATAACACCATATCACAGATTGTGATCGAGTGTATCAAAAATATAAGTAACAGTTTCCATATTACAAGTTAAACTAGGGTTACGTGCACTTGTGCGTTAGTTTGTAATTACTCTGAAGGCTACTAATCGAATCCACAGACTCTGCCCGTCGTATGTGGCAATTATATGTTCCATCAATAATTTAAATAGAGTATTGCGTGTTTTTTTGTTTTTTTTTCACACAAACTCTCCAGTTCATTTCCTTAACATTTCAATGTGCATACGCAGTTTAATGATGTGTTAGCACGTACCGAGTCATTTGTTTTGGTTTGCCTCGCAGTCTATAAATAGATACACATTCGTTTTAGGGTTATGAGCAGTGAATTTACCATATTAGTGTTTCTGCTGATGGCTTATGATAAGAGCAGACATTCGCCCCCCCCCCCATTAGAAAGCTGCTAAACAGGATTAATTGGAAGCCATTAAAATAGGAAATAAGTCGTCAGCTTTTATGCTCTTGACTTAACAAGAAAACTGGCACAAAAATAAGTTCAAACTAAAAATAAAATGAAAACATAAAAGTTACTCTGTGTGACAGAATATTATTTCCACCGACTTTTTCAATTCTTTTATGCACACGTGGCAAATAGAATGAAATATTACAAACATTTGCTGCCGAGTTTATCATAACTTTTAGTATCGCCGCTAGTATCAAGGCCTGAAAAGGCCAACAAGAAAATCTTTAATTGCCCTTTACCTTACTTAAAGGAACACATTACTACGGAGTTAACCAATCTTTTTTTTGTCTGTTATATGTAAAATATATGTAAAAATATTAAAAAGAAAATTCAACAGAACACAAGGTCTACTTTTAGAGTTTCTCTCTTCCAACGTAATACTCAACTTGTCATCAATTAAAAAATATCAGCCAATCAGTGCTCTCCCATACAAACGTATTTGGTTGTAAGCAGACGTGTGATAAAACCGAAAAAGGAGTACGGAGTAAGAAAATCTATCAATATAATAAACTCCTGCTACATTTCGGAAGATGAATAATATGAAACTAATACATTTGTAAAAGGAGCACAATACTGAATATTTAGCATTAAACAAATTCCACTTTTTTATTTAAAATGAAGCTACTCTATTATATAATATATCTTTACATCGCCAAATGACTCTCAGCATGAAACCGTGCCACTAGCTCCAACAGTATACGGATAAGTTCCCAGTAACATGTTCTTATATAAGAATCAGTGTAACAAACCAAATCGATTAATGCCACATTCTAAATTGAACATCTTGGAGTTATGTGGACTATTTTTCACAGATTTTTTAAAAAGCAGTTGGCCAAGAGCGCTAGTGCCTCAAAGGGAGATTACAGACACCTAAAGCATTTTAACTTGCTGAAGTGCTTAATGTGTAAAGAGTGTGTCCTCTTCTTTTTACTTAACAAAAAGTGCAGATTTCAATAGAAATTGGTACATTTATAAATTAATCTTGCTACACCTCCACTGGCTGTGAACTCACCACAACTACATTTTTAGTAAATGTGTATCTGCATATACAAGAATTATTACTCCTACCTTTTACTGCTTAGTAAATCTTCAAAGAGATTTTTCTTTTTTTTTTTTTTAAACTAAACACCAAAATGCAGTCAATTGAAAACTAAATTTCTATATTTTTTTTTGAAAATAACTAATTTGGAAAAGTTCTCAAATTCTCAAACAATTTAATATTTTTGAATAAACTTTTAAAATATTTTTTTTCTTCTTAATATTACAATATAACAATTATATCATATATAAAAATATATAAATGTATCATAAAGGAATTAAAATAGTTTTCAAAATATTAAATATTTTGAACCGTTTATCCTAAAAAAAATATTAAGTCACTTCAAAAGCTTATCCAAAAATAATAAATCAAGGCCTTAACTATAGCCACAGTTTGGCTATTCAGGGTTCAAATCACTAGTGAATTAGTGAATAAAGCTCAATATGTATTTTGTTTTGTGCTACTTTTTAAGTGGATTCTCCATAAAAAAAAGTCACTGCATATCACAATTTATTATAAAATTGTCTAGCATTTATAGTTTCAAAGAATAACTTCACGCACAACATATCTACGATTTGCTTAATTTTTTGCCATTTTTCCCTCCTCTTTTGATATATCCTTAGACAAGACACAGAATCGAGCACAGCAAGTGAGTCTAAGGGTTGACATTATTGATTACCCGCTATTCCCAGAGGTACTTAGCTGAACAAATAGTGAATTCAATTTACCTTCGCATATCTGGTCGCAAAAGTTCCCGTGAGTAAGGAGTGAAAAATAATTATCGTCTCGTCCAAATCCCACACGAACACACGCTGTGATAAAAGACAGACAACTAGTTTAGCGAGCAAAGCATGGCAGGATAAGCAAATATATGAGACAATTGACAGCTAGATACTTTGTACCGGTCACTAAAAGAATTATAGTTCAACTTTTGGGCCAAAATAACAGAATTGTGAATTTTCTCCTAAGTAATCTATTGTTATAGTTGAGCTATTTTAGATGAAAATTTTCATTTCACTGTATTAAATGTATTTTTGCATTTTTTTTTCTTCGAGAGATGCAGGACCCCATTCTGAAGAAACATATGTCTCCTAAAGAGAGGAAGTGGCTACACTTGGCTGGTCTTTCTGTTTCTTAGCGTACTTGCATGGCTCGGCACGGTAGAGTAACTTGTGACACCAATACATGATGTTGTGGCTCTGTTAAACATTAGCAAAGATGCAGTTATGAGTTCACCTCTCATTCTGATAATCCCACAGTGGAAGCTAAGTATGTGTCCAACTTCTAGACACAACTAGATTTATACTGGATTTATTTGAGAGAGTCTGTCCTGTGACCATGAGCAACTGCAAGTAGCTTCATTTACGAGAAGACATTAAAGAAGCTACTTAGAAGCTACTTCTTGGATTGAAGAGTGGTTTCACTTGTCTTTTCATGAATTAAACTACTACCGAGTGTTAACCAAAGAAAGGGCCATGGTTTATTGAAATTCTTAACTTCTTAATGTTCCTAGGCAAAGTTTTAACTTTGTTTCTTTCCTTTGAACTTTTTCTGTTATTTTCCTATTCTTAATAATAAATACAAAAAAGATAAAATCTACATATCTGCAGCCAGTTGTCCTTAGTTCAGGGTGGGCACAGTTGTGCCATTTATCTCAGAATAAAAAATAAATAATTTTTCCTTTGAGATTGTTTTGCCCTAAACTTTGTAAAACAATTCTGAAACTAAGAAGATTAAAAGGAAACTTTAGTTGAGTCACTTCTATTTATGCAGCCCTAGCCAACCTCCCCTGGTTGTGATGCATAGCGCCTGCATGAAAAAAAAGGTTTCATTTTTAGTCAGCTGTTAACTTTTTAAACTTTTTTTTAATCTCCTGCTCAGAAAATTGAACTTTAATCTTAAACAGAGGAGGCTCTTGCATGATCTAGCAGGCTTTTAACAGAACAGGAGATAAGAAATTGTAACTTAGACTGTATAATAAAAGAAGTTTAAACATTAAATCTCTCATTACAGGAAGTGTTTAGGAAACCTGTGCCAGTTAAATCTGGGAGGTGTGACTAGGGCTGTATAAACAAAGTGATTTAACTCATAAATGGCAAGGACATGATCTGCTTCATTAAGCTAAAGTTGTTTTGGTGTCTATAATCCCTTTAAACCAAGCTTCAATTGTTTGCAGAGGTTTTTTTGATAGCCAAAGAGTTAAACAATGCAAGTGATGATCTGGGCAAAATATACATGCAAATTATTCATGGAAGGTGGTATACTTCTTGGCATACATCTTTGTAAGTTTGACATGCCATGGACTTTAATGCTAAAGCCCCTAAATCATCACTCAATTGTTGTTTTTTCTTCTTCGATTTTTAGAAATTAGAGCATATCCCTTGTAATACCCAACATCTGGGAGTCTTTGGCGGCAGTTCCCGTTACAAGTGTACAGTTGTTTTAATTGGCACCCGTGCCCTTTTCGGCAACATTTCTCAATTCTTTTCTGTAAGGGATATTATGTGCATTCTGGTTCTGTATTGTACATTGATTTATCAAGGACGAGAGGCATCCGGTGTGAAACTTAAACTGGCACCTAGCCGTCTTAGCACATCCGAACCACCCCCTTCACTGAGTTAATATATTCTCAATGAATTGTTTTTAATGGCCGTATTAACAAGGTTTAAATATCTGAAGAAGACTCCTTCATATTTTCTGGTCATACCTATCCAATTTTTCCATCTGTCTCTTATGGTAAGTAAACTTCACACCATCCTCCACTGGTGGTACTCTTGTTCCTCAACTTCTCCTCCTCAACGCCTCTTGTCTTTGCAACATTTGTCTACTTCTTAACCTTAAAGGACCACTCTAGGCACCCAGACCACTTCAGCTTAATGAAGTCTTATGGGTGCCAGGTCCAGCTAGGGTTAACCCATTTTTTCATAAACATAGCAGTTTCAGAGAAACTGCTATGTTTATGAATGGGTTAAGCCTTCCCCCTAATCCTCTAGTGGCTGTCTCATTGACAGCCACTAGAGGCGCTTGGGTGCTTCTCACTGTGATTTTCACAGTGAGAGCATGCCAGCGTCCATAGGAAAGCATTATGAATGCTTTCCTATGTGACCGGCTGAATGCGCGTGCAGCTCTTGCCGTGCGTGCGCATTCAGCCGACGGGGAGGAGAAGAAGAGGATCGGAGGAGGAGAGCTCTCCGCCCAGCGCTGGAAAAAGGTAAGTTTTAAACCCTTTCCCCTTTCCAGAGCCGGGCGGGAGGGGGTCCCTGAGGGTGGGGG